CCGCCAGCGTTCTGGTAGCCGGCATGCCGCACCAGTGGGCCCTATGCCCATCTTTTCCAACAACAGTCATGGCGCTATCCCTCGTGGACGTACTCTCTGTGCGTTTGAGCACGCTGAGAATGCCCGGCTGAATTTTGCTTTACTAGGCTGTGAACTTGGATACCACTGGTCTGTTAAACCCAGTCGGTCATGTGGCTTCCCACCAGTTTAGGTTGCTGTATTAGCTCAAGTAATACTAGTGTCGATTTTGTCCTGAGATTCTATAACAAATATGTGTTGATAAAGCCTGCACGAAACTGTCAGCCTTCATTGAATGCATGTGTTTTTATCGTATTGCTGCAAGTTTTTGTGAATTAGGTATATACTGAAACCACGGGCCTGTTTTTATTAGCAAAAAACGATGTGGAAGAAGGGAAATTCTAGCAGCTAGCGCGTGCTTCCCCCCCCTATCCCCTACCATCTCCAGACAGGCTCAAATATCCACCTTCCAAACTCGTGGTGGACGCTAGCCCTGATTGCTGCCTTAGTCCTTCCTGAAAACTGTCCGTGCTTATTAGTATTCCTACTCTCCGACTCACTATGCGCACCCATGTTTAGCTGGATCACCTGTTCTGTGGGACTTGTATGGCCGCAGATTGACGGCTTTATTCGGTAGTACGTCCATAGCTTTATTTTGTCATGCAGCAAACGTATTGGGAATATTTTAGTCCCTTAATTACATTTGGCAAAAGTAGCTTATGTAGGCCCACTCATATACCCCAGTCACAGCATTTGTCCTGAAAAAGGGTAGTTATAGAGTTTTTGGGGTGGGGAAATAGTATAGGCAGAAAAGTAAATTTTTAGAAGTAAGTGTTAAGTGAAAAAAATGTAGTCGAAGTTGCTTTCCGCGGCCGCTAGGAGTAAGTTGTTCTGCATGTAAATTGAACGTGTGCGCGGCGCTCTGCTCCGCGAATTTGTTCCGCATGTAAATTGAAGGTGTGCGCGGCGCTTCGCGCAGCGGACCATGTGCTTCCCGCGGTCGTTGGGAGTAAGTTGTTCCGCATGTAAATTGAAGGTGTGCGCGGGCTTCGTGCCGCGGACTATACTAATCTAAATTCAGAACATAAGTTGGACCTCAGGTAAGTTGAAGTAGACGACCTCCTAACCACCATTTCATTTTTTTGGGTAATTCAAGAAACCTGCAATTCGATGATCGGGTTTTTCCGGAATAAGTTAAACAATAACACAG